TCTTACTTTTGATGACTATTATGTTAAACAAGTTGACAAACTCTTCGAACAAAAGCCAATTATTAATGAATCAAATGATGAAATTAAAATTATAACATCATCTGATTTTGATTATGATTTAATTTTTGGTGTTCCTGACATGGAAATAGATGTTGAAGTTCGTGCAAATGATAATAATCAATCAGATTCTTTGAAGCACAATGAGGGCTCGAATCTTACCCAAATTCCTGATGACAATTTTTCAACATCGAATTCTCCAAGAATTGGCGAAAGTAGGCTAAATAATCCAGTGGAGGGGAGCACTTGGATACAAATACTCAAATTGAAGGGGAGAATTCTTTCGAGGGGGAGAATAGGAGAATGCACGAAGATGTTGAGGGGAGCATCTAGTTGAGGGGGAGCAACAAAATCTAAATAACAGTGATACAATAAGTCTTGATCTAAATGATGAATATCACGAAATTAATGATAATCTTTCTATTGTAGGATCAGAAAATGAAGATTTATACGAAGATGCACATTTGGATTTGGATCCAACTTATCCACCACTCGAAAAATGTACAAAAGATCTTCGGAAAGAACAAGTACTTGGGAATCTACAAGATGGAGTTTTAATGAGAGCTCAACTTCGTGCAAAGAATGAGGTATTAAATACTCATCAAGAATTTTGCATGTTCAATGTTTTCATTTCAAAAATCGAACCAAAGACAATTAAGGATGCAATGGAACACTCTGATTGGGTTGCTGCAATGCAATTTGAATTGGCTGAGTTTGAACGAAATAAGGTTTGGAGATTAATTCCTAAACCTAAAAATATTTCGATTATCGGGTTAAAATGGATTTTCAAAATTAAAACTGACAAAGATGGAAACATTATTCGAAACAAAGCCAGACTTATTGTAAAAGGTTACTCACAACAAGAGGGAATAGACTATGAAGAAACTTTTTTTTTTCCTTTCGCAAGACTCGAGGCTGTTCGTATATTTATGGCTTATGCAGCTCACAAAGATTTCGATGTATATCAAATGGATGTGAAGTGTGCATTTTTGAATGGAGAGCTCGAAGAAACAGTTTATGTGGAACAACCCCTAGGTTTTGTCAATAATGATCATTCTGATTATTGTTATATTTTAGATAAGGCAGTTTATGGGTTAAAACAAGCACCAAGAGCCTGGTATGCAAATCTTACCTCTTTCTTAAAACAATCAAAATTTAAACAAGGATCAGTTGACCCCACGTTATTTTGAAAGAAAGTTGGGTATCATCTTATGCTTGTTCAAATTTATGTTGATGACATCATTTTTGGCTCAACTGACCTTGCTTTGTCTAAAGAATTTTATAATCTGATGAAAAGCAAATTTGAAATGAGCATGATGGGAAAAATTAATATTTTCTTGGTCTAAATATTCATCAAAATAGAGAATGAATTTTTATCAACCAGGAAAAGTATACGGAGAATTTGCTTGAAAAGGTTGGATTGACGAATACCACAAAATTACGAGTACTGATGGCAACTGGAACAAGGCTAACACCTTCGTTAGACAAACCTGCAGTTTACTTAACACTTTATCGAAGCATGATAGGTTCATTACTTTATCTCACTGCAAGTAGAACTGATATCATGTTTTTTGTGTGTAATTGTGCTAGGTACCAGTCAAATCCTCGAGAACCACATCTTACTGCAGTCAAGAATATTTTTCGTTATCTCAAAGGATCAATTTCGTTAGGATTGTGGTATCCTTCGAAAACAAGTTTCTTTATTCAAGATTTCTCAGATGCTGACTTGGGTGGTTGCAATCTTGATCGCAAAAGCACAAGTGGAGGATGTCAATTACTGGATTGGAAATTGTGAGCTGGCAATCAAAGGAGAAAACATGTGTATCAACTTTGACTGTTGAAGCTGAATATGTAGCTGCTGCTGCTTGCACATCACAAATAATTTGGATTCAAAGTCAATTGCATGATTGTGCAATAAACATGAAAAGAATTCCATTATATTGTGATTCTCAAAGTGCAATTCGTATTTGTCGTAATCCAGTGAAACATTCGAAGACTAAGTATATTGCTCTTCATTACCATTTCATAAAAGATCATGTAGAAGATTGTAATATTGAAGTGCATTTTATGAAAAATACTAATCAGTTGGTTGATATTTTCACAAAACCATTAGATGAAAAATCGTTTGTGAGAATTTTAGGTGGACTTGGAATGATCGAAGGGAGTTCAATTTCGAAAGAATAGTGATACCGGGGGACATCTTCCTATTTCAAAAGTTATTGTTCATAGTCAACGCTTCGTTACCCTTCGTCTTCGTAAATTGAAATTGGAAAATTCGTGTGCCCGGTACATTTCAAATATTTTCGTTAAGTAATTTTTATTTTCGAAAAATTCAAAAACAACAAAAAGTTTTTTTGTTTGTTTTGTCGTTTATTTTCGAAAATTCAAAAATGACAAAAAGATTTTTCGTTTGTATTGTCCTTTATTTTTGAAAAATTCAAAAACAACAAAAAGATTTTTCGTTTGTTTTGTCCTTTATTTTCGAAAAATTTAAAAACAACCAAAAGATTTTTTCGTTTGTTTTATCATTTCTTTTTGAAAAACACAAAAAATAACAAAAAGATTTTTATTTGTTTTTCTTTATTTTTGAAAAATCAAAAATCAAAAAAATATTTTGTTTTGTATTGTTTTTTTTTCATGTCTTGTTTCAGGTAACAAAGCTGATTCTCAATATTTAATGCTTGTAGTTCTAGAGTCAGGTAATTCTTTCGAAATTCTTGAACTAGTTAAGTTGTCCCTAGAAGCATGCTGCAACATGTTGACCAAAGTCTCGAATGACTCTATGTGTGTTTAGCGAAAGCCTTAATGAAATATTTCATACGAAAATTTCTTCCCAAGACAGGCTTATATTCACATTAGTCAAATGAGCTACCTGACTCTTCTCTCATGAGTTAAGAGTTTACTGTTTTGTCCATAATAACAGAGGTACACATGAATTCTTAAACCACTCTTTTTCATCTAAACATTCTTACACGATCACACACAAAGACTTATGTCCAAGAGGTCTTTGATCAAACCCATCGAGACTTAGACATATCAGAAATCTGTGTTAATGATTTGACATCATGAGACCGTGATGAAAGTGAAACCCAATTCTCGAAATTTTAAGGAATTGACGGGGAACTTTGCTCCATTTTTTAATGAAACTTTTGTTTCTGCACCGAGATTCGAAACTCCAAATCATATTCATTTTGTATGAGTGATCTTGATCAAATTATCGAAACCCACGATGTTTGTTACCCAACAGGATCCAACACAAATTTTCCATGAATGTGATTTTCGTGTGAGTTTCATTTGATTTCTAAGTTACTTTCAAATTTAATTCAATGTATACTTGTCACTGACTACACTGGTCAAATAAGTGATTTCTGTTACAATTTCTCACCTTATGTTTTGGATGATATGTAATGAACTCGTGTATCCATCCATGCAGCTTTGAAAAAGAAGCCCTTCGAAAATTCTCAATAAGTTTTTGATTGTAATTTACGGGAAACCATACAAGCAGTTGATTATCTCTCTTGATAATTAATGAAATAACCTTTGCCCGGGGTTTAATTGATTTTGTGTCGAAATAATTTTGACATCACAAATCCAAAATTTTTCGTTATTTGCTTCTTATATTTCTCTTTGCTACACTGCACTCATGAAATCCTTCAAGTTCTGAGTAGTACCAACTCAGGCTGATGATTTCGAAAGTCTGGCACATGAGTTCACTTTAAATCCAAAAAGTGAAAGTGCTTAACCTCCATCCGAAGGTTGCTGGCGGTTCATATTATATTGGGAAAATCAATAGGCTTTGAGAAGTGACGTCTTGTATTCTATCCAGTTTTCAAGGAGAAGTGACAGTTAATTTTTCACGTGTGGCTACTTTATCGGAATAGTGGTGCGAGTTTCAAGGTGCCGCGTCGGATTCATTAAATGCACATCCCGCTTCAAATTCAAATTTCAGGGTTACATATAAAAAGGAATTCAAGAGTAATCAATTTACGCATTCAGAAGAAAAATTCCTAAATTCTCTCTGAAAATTCCAATTGTACTTTATACGATTTTACAACCCTAGTCATGGCCGATCAAACCAATGTTGATGTACCATCACAAACCACTGCAGATGTTAATTCGAAATCGATAGTGAAGATTCAGGTGACAAACTATCAAGTGGAAGCTGATGAATCTCTTTACCCTGAAGGATTAAAGACGTTGGTCATTACTTTGAAGAGTTGTGTTCTTTTGACAGCTATGTTCAACTCTTTTGCAGTACCTATGTCCTGGCTTTCTCAAGCAGGTTCTACTGCAACATATTCTAAAGCCCTAGATGTCATTACCTTCAACATGGTGAATGATAAGAAGGTACGATTAACGAAGAAGCTGTTCTGTCAAATTTTGGATATTCCGAACTCCCAACCGTTTACTACTCTTTCAACTGATCAAGTGAACTACATATTCAACGAGATGGGTCATCAACCCCCACTCACCAAGATTAGTGATTTTAAAAAACTGGTCTTCCAACGTTCTAGAATTTCTTGTTTGGAATTTTTCTTCGGTGCTTAACAGGTCGAAGTGTTGGGCTAGATAAAGGTAGAATAGAAGTATATGCAATGGTTGCAGGTATCTATTATGATATCCCAGTGGATTACTCTACACAACTATGGAAAGAATTTCAAAATAGTGTAAAGAATACAAATGTTGTGCAAGAGATTTCATGTGCACGATACTAGAGTCTTATGCTCAGATATTTCTATGATAAAGAGGGAATTCTGGTGGATGCTGAGGAGGAAACAACATATTTTTTGAAGTATAATTTTCCAAAGGAAGTATCTGATGATCAAGAAATCTTTTAGCATGTTACAAGAATCCCAGATGCCATGTTAAAGAAAGTTGATCCAACCAATGCTATACTTATTGATTACATGTCAACAATTGATCCCAAAGTTTAAACTGAGAAAATGTTAACGAAAGAAGGTACGAGTCCTTTGAAGAAGTCTAGGACTTCAAAGAAGACTGAGATCATCATTTATGAGCCGATTGTTAAAGAAACGAAGACATCAAAGTCTCCAAAGACGAAGACTGATGAGGTAGTTTCAAAAGCTGTTATAAAACCTATTGAACTTGTTGTTATAGAACCAACTTCAGTTACCATTCCTTCGAAGACTGGAGTTTTTCGCAAATTAAAGCTGAAGTATGGTGGTTCTCCTACTTCGAATGTGGTTCACAAGCCTCATCTTACTCATCAAGGAGCACTTATGCGTCAAGTCCCAACTCCAGTTTCTCCTCACTCAAAGAAACGAAGGGCTGTGGATATGGCCAAGAAGATTTTGAAGAAGAAAAAGAAGATGAAGAAGAAGCAGTTAGTCATTCCAATGAAATCATCTGAAGAAGAACAAGTGCCAGAAACACCCGAACCCAAACCTATTATACAACCTACTTCTCCTGAGAAGATTGTTGTCATTATTCCCGAAGTTTCGTCTACCAAATCATATTATGAGGAGGTACGAACGTCAGATATCACTGTAAATGTATCTGATACAGTTGCAAATGTCATCATGGGTGAAGGAGACCTAACGAAGGAAACTACTCAACCTCCACAAGGTACTCCAGTTATTGTTTCTATCGATCCCATTACAAGTACCTTTGTTTCTTTACCTCCATTCATCATCCTTACTACTTCCACTATTGATTCGCCAACCTTCCAAAACATCATTGACCAACCCTTTACATCCATCTTTTCATCTCAATCCACTGATCCACCAAAACCAAATGATTAATCTGAAAATGAAGGAGGCTTTGGCGGTACTTTTGAAGATTTGGCTTTTGATGAAGAAGAGGAGGATTTCCCTGATCATATGCTTATGTCGATGAAACAATTCAAGATATTGAATAAAAAGTTAAATTCAATTATTTCGTCACAAGCAGACATGGGAGGAGGAAGTTCATTGTCCAGTTTCGAAGTTGATGGACTGATGAAGGCTTGTGAGGCACGAATGTTGAGCAAGATGTTTGGTATGCTTAAAGACTTGGAGTTGAGAATAATCGAGAAGATAGATCATGTTGAACATACAACATATTTGAGGATAAATTCTTTCAACTCCAAACATGTGGGAGTTGTGAAAGAATTAAGAAACGTTCAAAAGGAAAGACATACTTTGTTCGTAAGGGATGTGAAGAAGGTGAGAGAAGATGTAAATTTGAAGCTTCAAGAGCTTCAAAATGACATGGTTCGTGAAGTTATAGTTGTTCAAAATAACTATGCCACTTTGCATAAGAAATTTGATATCATTTGTGATGCTATCACGAAGTATGTTACGTTGTATGAAAGCTTGAGTCCTCAAATTACTCAACTTTCTACAACTGAAAATTAACAATTTGGGGTGGTTATTTCGATGCTTAAAGATTTGAAGGAGTCTGTGCTAAATCTTGCTACATCTTTGATAATTACTCCTGTGTTTCTTTCACAGAAGTTTACCAGTTCGAAGCCATTATTCATAAAAAACTAGCTCCTCTATCAACTATTTCGAATCTTCTTCCAACCGGTGCCCCACTTGTTCGAACAGGGGTGCAAGGGGGAGAAAGGAGATTTAGAGAAGGATCTCATGCGAAGGTTGGAGGTGATGCTTTGCAGGGAGAAGCTAAGGTTGTGGGTAAAGTTTTTCCTTTGAAAATTCCATCAACTAAGCCTATAATTTCAAGTGCTGGACCAGTTACTTCAACTATTGTGATGTCCATGCCAATCACAAATCTGATTTCGAAGGGGATTGTTATTAGGTCATCTACTGGTCAATTTGATGCTTTGAAAATAGAGGATGCTACAGATAAATCAACAGACAAAGGCAAGACAATTGTTGTTGAAAAATCTAAAGAAGAGAAGAAAGTAGAAGCCAAAGCAGAGATGGAAAAACTAAGGGTATTTTAAAGTATAATGAGGCAAAAGGTGAGTGATCCTCCAGGTTTGAACAAAGGAGATCCTGCTAAAATTTATAACTACAAAATGATAGAAGCGAAGGTGGCTTACAACCACATGTATGCATTTGAGAAGAAACCGAAACAGAGTTACATGGTTTCGAATGCAGACATGAGCCAGTTAGATTTTCCAATCAATGAGATGATGTTCCTCATGCCTCATTTCAAAGTGCTTGATAAATTAAAAAGCGAAGACGAATATAACTACATGAAGCTTCGTTTTCATGCAGTTCTTACGAAGGTTCCTAAAGGGATTTGGTCTTTCATAAAAATCAAGAAGGTTATAAGCATCAAGATGGATGTCTTATTTGAAGATATGATGCAGAATGTAAGATTCATTGTTGCAAGGGCGAATTGTCAGACTTGTGATTTCACAGCCGAAGATTTTCCTCTAATGAATCTATATGACCTCATTCAAATGGCTCTTCTCCTGAAAGATAAAAATTCTTCCTATCTTCTAGAAACAGATTCTGATGTTTTTCGATTGGGAGTGGCTCACATCAAAATTTTCTTGGAGAACTATTATGAGTGCTTAGCAACAGTGAAAGGACTTGAAGTCAAAGTACCCATGGAGCCATCCAAGTCTCAACAAGAATTGAAGAAATATGTTGATGGGGAAATATGTTTGAAGCCTTTCGGTTTGGTTTTTTCTGGTAAAGATAAGGCTAGAAAGTCGAAGACATTTTTTTTCCAAGTCACTGAACTCGAAAGATATACGACTTCTCAATATACGAACTTCATTGTTCGTATGAATAATTGCAAGAAGAATAACGAAGGAAATAAGAAGGATCTGAAGAAGATTATATCCTGGTACACTAAAGGTCGAAGGGTGATGATGTATACCATCCAGATTCTCACAACTTGAGAATTCGACTTCATTCCAAAGGGGGAGGTTGTTAGGGTCAAAGACATTTTGTAATGAGTCGAAGACCATACCCTTCATGTACTTGTAATGTATTTACTAAGACGTTTGTTTGTACGAAGCTTAAATGAAATATCTTAGTATTTTTTGTATACTTTCCTGTTCCCTATAAATATGAACTTTACTTAGAGTTAGATAAGAAGTCTTTACAGAACTTGTCTTTTGTACTCTCTGTAAAACTGTGAAAGTATAATAGAGCTGAAACAAGATCATATTTACATCTCGTGTTCTTTCATATCGTATTCACTCTGATTTGATTCGCATTTACTTGATTAATGATTCTTCGCTCATAAACACAATCATAATATTTATACAAACATTCGGATGTTAGTATGTGAGACATCTTGAAGTAATCATCCAATGAATCGGTTACGCTGCCTTACGAAATGAATCGCATCAGGGTCGTTCACTTTTGTAGTAGCGTGAAACCCATTCAACCTCTACATACTATTTCAATCAAAAGAAACTATACTCATGTTCCAAGTCGTTTCTATTTATAGGAATATGTTGGAAGTATATCCATAGTTACAACAAATTAGTGATATGTCTATAAATATCAGGGTCAATTTGGTTACATACTAGACATGATTTAACCATTAAATAACATATGAAAACTAAAGGGATTAGTTTATTAGTTTGTCACCTTATGAATAGTTAATTAGAAACTAAAAGGTCTAAGTGTAATTCTCATTTATTTGAATTGATAAGTATTTATCCCTTAAATAAAGATATCAATATAGTAGTTTTAGGAGATAATGAACACATAAAATAAGGAATTTATTTTAGAAAACCCTAATGGACGATTCAAATGGGTTTCCATCCTTATTCTTGTATTTCTTTGGGCTCTTTCCAACCTCTCCTTGAACCTATGAGGGTTAACTTTTTCTAAAGAAAATGAAGATGGTGTTGTCTCATCCTGCTTAGTTTCTCCCTCATCCAATATAAGTGGAGAATCAACTACATAAAACATATATCTTTTTATACCCTTGTATAGTTTTGGTGCTAAAAGTTCTCCAAAACGAGACCTATTGTTATAGGATTTTAGTATATAAAATTTGATTTGCTCATCAAGAATTTTTATATGGTATGACTCTTTACACATAAGTGGGAAAATTATGTGTATAAAATCTAACAACCCTTATAACTCAAATAAAGTATCATGATATGCATTTTGGGTAAGTATGTAACAATATGTAACTAAATGATATAAAAGTACCGTATTTTGAAAAGAACTATGTGTACCCTTACACTTAGATCACTTACTAAGTCATAATAATAATTTAAAACTTTTTAGTAGACTTCTAATAGTTCGTCCGAATATGGTTCATGGATTTAAAATTCATAGAAATCCTTGTTTGTACGAGAAATTTATGACCATCTAAACTTAAAAGGCTAAAGTATGTTTTCCAAATGAGTAGGAACAGGAAGGCACGAGTTATGTCTCCTTAGACACATGTCATGAATTGGATCGCGAAGCACAAAAAAACTTTTAAAATAATTCATTACAAAAAAGAGCTTAAGTGTGACACGGTCCATGTCCAATGACCGACTCTCATTAAACAAGGAATAAAATACATCAAGTTTGTTACTTTCTTATCATTTCAACCACAATCGATTTTAAGTGCTTTAATAGGCATGTTGGAAAGTTTATGTAACGTCACATTTTGAAATAACAAAGTATTGTATAATCTTGCAATGACTTTATATATAGAACTTAATATGTTAAAAGAGGTAGTGTGGTTAAGATTTTAGAACTTGATTTGTCAATGGTTGCTATACTAATAGGAAATTGAGTAATAGATGAAAGAATTGCAAGTATAGCTATATGGATTAAAAAGGGATAAATAGGGAAATATATTTATGGTAAAATCTGCCAGCAAGGTCGTAAAGTGAATTGTAAGGGGTTGCGACATGAGCCAAAGTCGAGAATCATTTAATGTAAAATTAATAGTGATAGTAACATACAGTAGGGGATTCACGACACAGCGGAGTGGATGCAATGTGGTTCGAAATTAGATTCTTATGATTCTTTTATGACGTGTCTTTAGTGACGGATGCAAAGTGTCAGGAAACATACTAATCTCGATGCAAGAGAAGAATTAACCATACAACCTTAACGAAGTTGTGAAGAAAAAGTCACTGCCAGTGGAAAAGTACTAGTTTGTCATTTTGCCACAAAACACAGCCAAACAGAGGAGAGGAAGCTAAGTGTGATATTGGGGATTTTTAAGTTGAAGTATAACAACTAGAGAGAAAGTTAAAGGAAATGTTCTATAAAGCATTATTCTTGTATTTGGATTAAAGTGGCAGAGGACGTACTACCCATTTTCCGTTATGATGTAATATAAACTTTATACATGTGTTATATTACTAATTTGATGCTATCTCATATAATGAGACTTATTATTACATAAAAACAACGAGTAAAAGTCATGATTGGAAATGAAGTTGCCATTACTGGCTAGTGACTAATGGAGAAATAAGGGAAAAAGAAAGGAAAGTAATGGAGGGGAATGATGCACCCATGCAAGAGCATGAAGCATCTCCAAGAAAATCATAAAAAGCATAAACAATATATTTCCTGTTCATTTCAGTTTATTTTCCTAAAAACACACATGTTAAAGGTGAGATTTTTCCTATTAACACCTAGGGAGAGCTTGGTGCAAGGAAATTTCAAGAGCTTGTAAATTATTTTGTTTAATAAAGATTCAAACCTGTCATCCTAGTAATTAGTTCTTGGTGTTGTGAAATATTATGGTTGAAACTCAGGGAGGAATTTCTATATTTTAGATAAAACGATACATGAAAGTGCTATCATAGCTTCTATAACTCCAATATTATACATTAATGTAGTCTTTAAGATGAAACAAAGATGAAATTAATGAACTCATGTTGGTAACTCTTACATGTATAGATTATGGCCATAAATTGATGAAATAAGTTGTTATAAGCTATTGTTAGTTGTAGTAATTGAATGACAGAGCTATTGAGAATTGATATGGATGGATGAGACCGAAAGTAAACCTAAAGGAGGGTGTGTTCCTTAAGCACGACACACTCATTAAGAGGCGTGACGCCACTATCCATCTGAGTAGGAGCTTCGTCTTTGATAAGAATATATAAAGGGATATATGTTATGTTGGTAATAATATATACCAAGGAAGTTTATCTACTCACCTTGCAAGGTTGTATGGATGATACTTAAATTTCTCGACCTCAGTATTTGGCTCCTTTACACAGACCATTATATATATATATATATATATATATATATATATATATATATATATATATATATATATAATGGTCTGTGTAAAGGAGCCAAATACTGAGGTCGAGAAATTTAAGTATCATCCATACAACCTTGCAAGGTGAGTAGATAAACTTTCTTGGTATCAATGATGTGTTTATAATATATCTAGATATATGTACTTAGTTGTAAATTATTTATGGATCTTGTTGTAAAACGAGTTTAATGGA